TATAATTATTTCTAAACTTTAATTATACATCCTCTCATTAAAATTTTATTTTATTTTATTTATTTTTAAGGGTTAAATAAGTAAAAATAAAATTTATCTTTAAATCTTTAATTTGAAGATAAAATAAAATAATAAAAAACCTATTATTCTAGAACGGAGGTAGTAGATGTCTTTTTATTTAGAATTTCTTCCAAATTAATTGTCTTTTTTAGTATCTTAGAAAAAACAAATATTTTTTTTCTTATCTTTATCACTTTTTTTAATGATAATATCAGTAAAAACATAAATTACTTCAAAATTCTTAATTTGAAAATAAAATAAAATAGCCTTTACTCCGAATATCCCAAAATAATAGTTGCCTTTGAACTTTTTTTTTCTCAAATAAAAGATTTAATGACAATAATTGTATTTGTTTATAGTACCCTTAAAAAGAAATAAAAGATAAACAGTAATTTTTTGTTATTGGATAATTAATTAAATTAAATGGATAATAATGATAGGATTAAAGTATGAAAAAAAATATTTGTCTACTTTGAAAAATGAAAAAATGATAATTAATTTAAGACAAATTTAAAATTAAAAAACGACAATTAATTTAAAATGAAACAATTATTATTATGAGACAGAGAGTATTATGTTATTAAGGTAAATAAAATAGAAAGTAAAATAACTAAGGAGGAGTGTTGAGCTGTAGCTGTGGGTTTTCTTGGTCTTTTCAAGTCTCAAAAAAATATTTAATGTATTTAATATTTATTTTAATTAACATTTTATATATTTTTAAATAGTTAAAAAATACAAAAAAAAAAAGAGAAAAAGCTAAAGCATCAAGAAATGTTTTCAAATAAAGCCTAGATTGGACCAACCCTATTTAGAAAGTGAAACAATTAAATGGGACCAAAGAGAGTTTTTTTTTTGTTTTTTTAAAGAATAATATAGGTAAACTCATAAATTATCTTCAAATCCAAAATTTGATAATAAAATTTTTTTTTTGTTATTCTAAATATAGGTAGTAATATTAAAATGAAGAATGAAACAACTAAATTAAACCACACCTATATAAAAAATGAGACAACTAAATGAGACTAAAAATAGTATCTTTTTTTAATGGTAATATAAATAAAAATATAAATTTTCCTTAAATCTTTAATCTAAATTTTTATTTTGATTTCTTTTTTTTTTATTTCCTTTACATGGTCATCAACAATATTTTTTTCTCGTGTACTTTATGAGCTAGTAATTGACACTTGAGATACACACAGGGATGATGTGGAGATGAGAAAGTGGTTGATATAGTAGTGTAGTCCTAGATATAGTAATAATTTTTTT